TAAAACAATTTGATGTATTATGAGAGAGTCTGTAAATCTTTTAGGACAGACATGTGGAGATCACTGTCTTGTTTTGAGGACTCAGTTTCAATAATAATCATGGTTGATTTTCCACTGTACATATTTGAAAACTTTTACAAGTTCATTTTCTCAAAAGGATATAAATCTCATTAGAAAGAATTCTTGTCTGGTCTGTTCACTACTGGCTCCCTAAAACATTCCATAAAATAGACATGCAATGAGTATGTTTTTTAAAATGTGTTTTTAAAATAACTGAATTTGGAGATAAAGGGAAATATTCAGGTACTTCCAATGAAAAGGGCTCTGAAATCAAGCTCTGGAGATCAGATGACAGTGGGGTTTATTTATTGATACTTCACAGTAAATGTACCCTCTGCATACTATTTGTGAAGTTTAATAGTGTAATAAAAGACATGAGGGACAGACAAGAGATGAGGTCTTTGGCTGTCAGAAGGAGGTGTATAAAAACTGAGCCTCCTAGTTAAAAATATTGCACAGTGTCTGGAAACACACGCAAAAGTGTCTGCAGAGATGAGTTGACAACCTAAATTGAAAGAATATCCAGCAGAGCACAGTCTGTGAGTGAGGTTAGGTACTGACATCAGTCAGCCTGCTTGGGAGCAAGGCCGAGGGGTGCACGTCCACAGTGAAGAGGCTGGCGCTCCCTCGGCCAGTGATCCTGGTACCTCATGCTTTCAGTGTCTGAAAATCTGCATGAGATCATACATGTAAAATGGTCCTTTAAATGTGGTTCTGTCCCCTAGAACTTGGACACATTTCCACATGTCCTGGATTTAAGGGAGATCTGTGAGAAAACTGTCATGCTATACTCATATATACCGGTCTCCAATTCCAACCATTTGTCTTTGAATCAAAAGTACGAACTGTTTTCTTCCATGGTAGCATTTCTAGCTGTGGCTCCTCGTATGGGTAGACTCCTAGTTGGCTTGCCATGCTTGTATACCAGACTTGTTCGATATACTCAAATTTTAGTACAAATAGGTTAGGTTCAGACTGGGACCATTGCTACAAAGCAGTAATTCTCACCCTTCCTATGGTGTAATGTTATTAAGAAATCAAGCAGATGAAAGGTCAGGCCCCGAGGTTGTGCAGGGCAAGGAACCCAGGCTGGAGTGGTTCCGCACACGGGTTTTCCATACAAAGGTCATGGTGCCTATACTTGAACTTTACTTGTATTGTTTAGTATTAAAAATAATTGATAAATGTAATGGTAAAAGAGTAAAGTGATAGATTCTGGATCTCAAGTCTTCCCCTATAGGAGGATGTTTGTGAATAATGAAAGAAGTACAGACTAGTAAGTTGCAGCTCGATCCATTATTGCCCAAATCATTACACAGTAAAGGATTCATTGAATGGATATATATCAATAGTGAGTATTTTCTGATTCCATGGATTATACATAGAAATGATTAGTTATTCTGGTCATTATAGCCCTTGCTGGATATTAACCAACGTATTAGCCTGTATCCTTACTCCAGTTCTTGGAGTAAATAGCTAAGGCCCTATGGAATTTCTCAAACATTCTGGTCAAGGATAAAAAGGAAAGCTTGAATTGAGAGTAAAGGACTGACGTGTGAGATCTTGAAATGTCTTGGTATCTCAGTCACTAGCTCATGAACCCAAATAGACCTCTCCTTAACCAGTATCTAAACTTCTATTTCCTGCAGTCATAAAAGAAAGCAAAGTTATAATTACTATTATTTTAAAATTAAGTAACAATATACGTATTAACATAAAATTTTATCTAGCATTCAAAATGCTTTCACATTTTATCCATTTGATTTAATAACTTTGTTACTGTTACCTTTAAATTTTTTAATGTTTTTAGACACATTATATTTCAATCATTCTTACATTTCAAAAAAGATTTTTAAGGGTTAAATGGTATGAATTTTCCTTCTCATGTAACTTTAGCTCTATTCTAATGATTATCATAGTTAATGTTTTCATTATTAGTAATTTTCTAAATTTTTTGCAGTTTTGTTCTTGGTGGCTCTGTAGATTCAAAGGCTATATAGCAGAGCTCTGAATTTTCCAACCAGCTGTAATTTTTACTCTACATTCTGTTTCCTGTTTCTACTTTTTCTGAAATTACAGGAAATACCTCAATATGAAAGCATTTTATCTTTCAAAAACATTCGAGCATCTCTTTGTAATCCCAAATGGTGAATTATGGTAAATGTGCCACAGACACCTGGTGTTAAACCTTTGTTCAGCCTGTCATTACATTACTCTGCTAATCTACACAACAGAATTTTTAAACTACCTTAATGGACTGACTGCCATTGAGATTCTGCCAGGGCAGCAGAGAATTAGGTGTGACTCTTCAGGGAAGACCAAAGATGGCTTTGTCCTTCCTTCTGTCCTTCAAATGCTCTTTCACTGAGCCTTTGCACAAACATGCACGTGGCTCTGAGCACCTAATCCAGGCCAGGCCCTGCACTGGGATGAGCCCTCGCATTCAAGACTATGCTGAGGGTATCGGCATCCCGAGAGGACAGGAATTCCTTCTCTGCAGGGGCTACTCCAATTCTCATGTTACAGGTGAGGAGACTGAGGCTCAGACAAATGAGATAGCTTCTTATTCACCCAACTCAGGCGGGAGCCAATACAGACCTTCAAACGCCACGATACCGTGTCTGTCATTTGCAGTGCTTTTCCTTGGGCCTGGAATATGCTTCCTTGCACTTCCATATTTAAGGATTCCTTCTCCTCCCCACGGAGGCCTTCTGGGATTGCACCATCTTCAGATAGTTCCCTCCATTATCGTCGCTTTCAGCCCCTTGTCTGCTTCCTTCTTAGCAGAAATTGTCTTACTATAAATTTGTGTCGGCTTTCCTCATCAGACTGTGAGCTCACAATGGCAGTTATGCTCTCCTTTGTCTCTCAGGTCCTATCCCAAGACCTGACACACAGCAGCTTCCAGGTAATTTGAAGAATATGTGAAGGAGGGATGGGATTGCGTGGTGTCTCAGTGCCACCCGGGGCCCGATGCAATTCTAAATTTGGTCGCTAGATGGCAGGGCTGACCTGTAATTTCTCTCTGGGACCAAATTTTAAGGATGATGATATTTAGGGCACGGGAGCCCCTCTCTCTCATCCTGGCTCCTTGAAAGCCACACAGAGCCGCCTGAAAGGACAGGACCTTCTCCCATCACATCGCTCTTTAAACAGGGGAGTCCACTGGGGGTCAGGTGTTCCTGGGACAGTCCTGACTACTGAGGTCTCCCATGTGGCTGTTGACCACCTGTCAGGAAGCTCTCATTCTCTGTCTTTTCTCATGAGCTAGGGATCCTATATAATACACCATTTCAATTAGCCCTCCAACGTATTTCCGGTTTTTGAGTGCTTTCTGTATGTGCACTGAACAGCCGGAGGACTGAGACCCGAGGGTGAGACTCTGCCTAGTTCACAATACTCAGCTCAGAATGGACTGGAATCAGATGTGTGTATGCTCCCTTCCTTGCCCTCCCTCCTACCCTGGGGGGCTGGGCACTGGAGGGAATGTGAAAGAGGGACGGCTGGCATCTAGCTCAGGCAGCCCTGGCTGGAACTAGTGTCTCCTCGGCCCTCTGGCAGAGGACGTCTTCCTCAAGCCCCTCCCCCTTCCATTCCACTGCCAGCCACCCTCCCTCAGGGTCTACACGTTCCTGTCCAGGGCAGGGCTCCCTTGATCCTCACGTTCCTACTCCAGGGATGTGGTGTGGATTGACTGGGGCCCCTGACCCAAGTGGGTGCATTAGTAGCTCTGGCTGCCATTACAAGATACTTCAGCAACAGACATTTATTTCCTCATAGTTTTGGATACTGAAAATCCCAGATCAAGGTGCCAGCAGGGTTAGTTTTTGATGAGGCCTCTCTCCCTGGCTGCAGGTAGCCCACTGCCTTCTGCCTCTGCCCTCATACGGCATTTCATCTGCATGTGTGCAAGAAAAGAGAGGTCTCTGGTGTCTCTTTCTCTTACAAGGACACATTTCCTATCAGATTGGGGCCCCATCCTGATAACCTCATTTATTTTTAATTACCTCCTTGAAGGCCCTATCTCGATAGTCACATTAGGCGTTAAGGCTTCAACTTATGATTTGGGGGTGGGGACCACAGTTCAGTCCCTAATAGTGGGTCACTTACAACTGGAGTGGGCTTGGGCAGGGGACTGGTCTTTTCCACTTCCTGTGGCAAAGGAAAAGGTCCTTGCTGTCCTACCTGAAGGGAAGTCCAACCTTCCTTTAAGTGCAGATCTCCTGTGTTCAGGACCATTCCGTGGATCAGCACGGACTCTGTCATGTGTGCAGATGTGACATGCGCCCGCAGTAGTGGTCTGGGAGCTCCCGGGTATACCTTGCTAGATGCTGTGCGTGTATGCATTTGTCTTTTTGAAAAGGCGGCCCATGATATTTTCAGATTCTCAAAGGATTCAGGAGCAAAAACGAGCAAGGAAACAACTAGTATGAGTGGAAGCAAAGGATGGAACTTTGAGAAGGTCAGACATTAGTTGCAAAGACACCGCTGACCAGGAGAAAGCAGGCTGACAGCTGGCAGTCGTCTCTCCCAGCCAGACCGTGGAATTCTCTGCTGGCCATAAACAGGCTCACAGAACAGAACACAACTCTGACATATGAAGATCATTCTGAAATCATATCTGGACACAGCCGTGAAGATTGCTCTGGGAACCACAAAAATGGAAACACTCCCCTCTCCCGGCCAACAAGAGCGTCTGTAGCTCCTTACAGATGCCTCTGCCTGGCTCTGTCCCTCTCTCCTCCTGGAAAAAAATTTATTAAGCTAACTCTACTAAAAAGTTGCCTGAGTTTCTTGACAGCATCCTATAAGGCATAGACACCCGTTCCTTCAACGTTCCCCCAGATCACCCAGCACAAGGCCAAATCCCATAAAAATCCCTCCTGACAGCCTGTGACTGAGAAGCCCTATGGCTCACCATTGTATGCAACATCCCTGTTTTTAATAAGTACCCCCAACACACACATATAAAAGAAAAGAAAAATCATCAACTGGACCAACTGTAGGGATATTCCTTGTAGTCTCTGGCTGGAGGGCACTGATGCTTGCCATTCGCTGCCTCTGTCCCACCTGCAGCATCCCTGCAGGAAAGAGGATGGAGTTCAAAATCAAATTTGATAGCTGTGAGATTTGCAGCTGAGCCAGAATATGTGGACTGTTTAAGTTCAGAGTCATGAGCCCAAACCAAGCCTTCTCATTGCACATCTCAGGCTATGCTTCCCACACAGGGCCACCCAAAACACTGCTCCACAAAGTAAGAGGAATACTGTTCAGTCCTCCTGGAGGCAATGAAGGCTCTGTCTTAAGCAGACTGGGGCAGTGAGCTGCACGCCGTGTGCTCTGAGCGTGGGCCAGAAGAGGGCATACCACGGCACAGGAAGGCCAGGCTCACAGATGGGGGAAATGAACTGAAAGAGATAGAACTTGGCCGAGTCACACAGCTGGGAAGTGGCGGAGCTGGGGTTCCATCCCAGGCAAGAGGAAAGAGGGCGCAGGGGGGCAGGCAGTCCTCCTGCAGGTCAGAGGGCAGAGTGTCCGCAGCCTCTTGGGTGACGTGTGTGTCTGATGGAAGTCCCAGAATGGAGGCAGTGCTAGGAAGGGCCTGGGGTCCAGAGCAAATGGGCACAGTGGCTTCATTTATGAGGCAGAGACGGTAATCAGGGGCTGATGCATGTGGAGGGGTATATCACGATGGGAGTGGCCTGCTGGAGGCTGTGGAGAGCAGGAAAGGGCTCATAGTTGGGCAGCACCCAGAGCAGTGGCTTAGTTGTTAGACTGGCTGCCCACCTAGATGCCTACGTCTTACTACAGTTCCAGGTAATGTCAGAGTCTAGAGGGTAGCTGACTGACCTCTGAACTTAGTGTTAATAAAACAAGCACTGTGACCAAAGTCAACACTTCCAGCATGACCTGAAGTCAGCTACCTCATCTGCCCCTGCCCCTTGTGGCAGGCACAAGGGGAAGGTCCGGCTGCTGAAGAGTAGGAGAGAGTAACTATGTGCCTGAAGTAATTTTCCAGACCCTGGATCTCCTTGTCTACATAATTTGTTTTCAGCATGTGACTTTATACTATCCTGAATGTTTTCAGGGACAGGGGTCAGTGGGAAGAAAGGAAACCAGGACCTTCACAGCCAAGTACAGTCTAATAGGAAGGGACCTGAAGGGAATCTTACCCACATTCCTCCTGGTGTTTGGAGGCCCCTACAACACTTCTGCCACACATCACTGCCACCTCCTGTGATGAGCTTCCCCACCCCCCAAGTTAACGTGACATTTTATGACAGCTCTATTAGAGATGTTGTTCAGAAATTAATAAATTGTGTTTAAGTTATTGTTCCATCCCATCTAGATTGTCCCTCTTGACCACTGCACATGGTCCAAGCCATTTACCCACAAGATACCCATTATCTAAACCCCCCCACCAAAGTTTCTTTTGTTTCCTATCCAGTTGAATGGTACCCAGATATTCAAGTCAGAAACTTGGGTGCCCATTAAAATTCCTCTTTCTTGCTAACTATTTCACATTCAACCAATTCCCAGGCTCTATCAATTACACCTGATAGATGTTTCTCAAATGTATCCAACTTCTTAATCCAGCTGCCATTATCCGAAGCCTGGCAGGAATCATCTGCTGCCTGCGTGATGGTATGTATTTCCTCTCAGGTCTGATTCTTTTCCAGTCCTGCGCCGCTCCAGTCCTTTTCTAGGCTGTAGTCAAACAAAGCTTTGAAAAATTCAGTTCTGATCATGTCTCCTCTATTGGAATTGCTCTAATGAACCTTAGGAGGAGGTCCCAAGTCTTTAGTACAATTTCAAATCCTGCTGTCCACTGGCTCATGCCTCGGTTCTCACCGATTGGATCTCACACTGTAAACCCAGTCACACTGAATAGTTTTATCCCTGGGAACCTAGTCTGCTTTCTCATTTCCAAGCCATTGAGCAGACTAGTCACATTTGGATACTTGGACCAAGCCCTGAAGGAAGCAGGGGCTGAGCCTTTGTAACACCCACAACCTTAAGACTCCTTTGGAAACATTTTCATCTGAAATAATTTTAGTCTCATGTATAAATCAAAAAAATAATAAAGAAAGGTCTCCTGTACCCTTCATCCATCATTCACCAATGATCGGATGTAACAGACCAAAGCACAAATATCAAAACCAGCAAGCTGACATTGGAACAATACGACAATAAGATACAGCTCTTCCTTTGGATTTAATCATTTATCTGCATATTTTTATCCTGGTGTATAGTTCTATGAAATCTTACCACAATCATACATTTATGTAACTACCACAATAAAAGTATAGAACTTTCCATCACCCCCAATGGAATTTCCCCATGCTACACCTTTATAATCACCCTCTCTCCAGCCCTGATCCCTGCCAACCACTGTTCTCCCATTGTAATTTTGTCATTTCAAGAATATATAAAAAGAATCATACAGTTTATAAAGTTTTGACATTATATTTCTTTTACTTAACCTAGTGCCCTTGAGATTCACCCAAGTTATTATGTAAATCAATAGTCAATTCCTTTGTGGACCAGCAATTGTCAAGGGCAAGGGGTGGGGGAGAGCGGGTGGGGAGGGAGGGAGAAGGGGACCGAGGGGTATAATGATTGGCACACATGGTGTTGAGGGAGATCATGGGGAAGACAGTGTAGCACACAGAAGACAAGTAGTGACTCTGTGGCATCTTACTATACTGTTGGGCAGTGACTCAATGGGGCATGGGGGGGACACGATGACATGGGTGAATGTAGTAGCCACATCGTTTTTTCATGTGAAACCTTCATAAGAGTGTATATCAATAATATCTTAATAAAAAGAAAATAAAGTAAAAAAAAATCATCAGTTCCTTTGTCTTCTGGGAGTTTTCCTTTGTATGGATGTACCACAGGTTATTTACCCATTCACTTGCAGAAGAACATTTGGCTATAAAAATGAAGCTTCCAAAATTTGGTATATACATATAATGTAATATTATTTAGTCTTAAAAGGAGGAAATTCTGATATATGCCACAACATGAATCTTGAAGACATTATGCTGGGTGAAACAAGCCAGTCACCAAAAACCAAATCCTGTATGGTGCCCTTTATATAAGGTATGTAGAGTAGTCAGATTCATAGAGAAAAAAAGTAGAATAGGGTTACCAGGGGCTGGGGCTGGGGTGGGGCAGGAAATGGGGACTTATTATTTAATGGGTATAGAGTTTCAATTTGGGATGGTGAAAAAGTTCTAGAGATGGATAGTGGTGGCTGTTCTACAATGTGAATGCTTTTAATGCTCCCGAATTATAAACAATAATGGTCAAAATGGTTGTATTATGTATATTTTAGCACAAGAAAAAAAGGAAAAGTAAAGTAAATCGCTAGAATATATTATCATGTAGTGTTAAGTAATATAAAATAAAATAAACCAAGCCAAAAGGATAGAGAGTGGCTGGGTGGGACTTCTAAAAAGAGACCAAGACAGGTTTCTCTAATATAGGGATATTTGAGTGAAAGAGAAAGATCCAGTTGGCAGACACTGGAGAAGTCCAGGCTGGGAGAGTATGAAGTGTAGAACCTGAGGCAGGAGTGGTCTTGGTGTGTTAAGGGCCGCAGGGAGCCTGCTGTGCCTTCATGGATGAGTATATGTGCACATGTGCACGTTTGTGTGTATGGCTGATGTGCACAGCATTTGTGGGTATCTTTACATTTCTTGGTTGGAAACAAGAATCTTGACCTGACCAACTGTAAGAGCCTACATATGGGGGCTCAGGAATGATAACTACCAAAATGATGGCAAATGAAAGACAGAATGTGCAATATAAAAGCAGACAGCTGCTGCACACTGTGTCAGAGGCCCCAGGAAATGCTCCCAAGAAGAGTTTAGTGCAGTCCTAAGAGAAGCTGTTTATTAATCTGGGGTTGGAGGCCAGGCCTATGCTGTCGCTCTTCATAAGGCTGGCAGGGCCATGTGTTGCAGAGTCTGGCTTCCTCCCTCACCGAGGCAGCTGCCAGAATCCCAGGCTGGAGGGCCAGTTTCCCTGTCTCTGCAGAAGCCTCAGTAACCCTGTGGTGAGTGGATCTGGGGTCCTGGGTCAGGACCTTGGAGGGGACTTGACCTTGGAGCCCTAGAGGAGGCTTTCTGGGCCTGTAGAGGGGGTGGGGGGATGGCAGACAGAAGCTATGCTGGGGATTTATCTTTCTTGGCTTATGCTGGGGCATCTGTGACTTTCCTGGGCTCACCTACCATGTGCAAATAAGACTGTACCTTCATTTTCAAAGAGAGCCATGAAGGATTAGACCCATGAGACTGGGAAGCTGAGGTTTCTTCTTGGGGGCAGGACAGATTTCAAAGAGAAATTGAAAGACAGATGAAATGCTAAGATAGAGAAATGGGAAGAGGATTCAAGGAAGGTGGTCTACCTGCTAGTGGTTTTGACTCACAGAACACTGAGAATTCCTGCTGCAACCTAGAGAGAGAAAACTACCTTCGAGGCCAAGGTAGTGAGAAATCTCCAGAGAACATGTTCCTTCTAGCAAGTCTCTATGGCAGTGGTAAATAAAACATCAAGAGGAAGTAAACTCAAATTAATATGGGGCTGGGTTGGTGACTAGTGGTGACCCCCCTCTCTGGAGCACCGGCCTGCAGCTCAGAGCCTGCTGCCGCATGAACACTGCTTCGCTGGCGCTGGGGGAGAACGGGCTGCCCAGCCAAGAGGATGAGGTGCAGGCTGCAGGGGGCCCAGGCATAGAGGTTGGGGGAGAGAGCTCTCAATGAAATAAGCTTCCTTGACTTTCCTCACACCAAGGTAAGGACCATGTCCCTGTTTCCACTGCTCCCTGTCCTTCTCTTGAGTATGGTGGCAGCATCCTTCTCAGAAACAGAAACCTGTGAGGATGTGTGGAAGACCTGCCCTGGGACGGCCTGCAGTTGTCCAGGAGCTGATGGTTTCCCAGGCAAAGACGGGTGCAACGGCACCAAGGGGGAAAAGGGAGAGCCAGCTACCTTGGGCCGTTCCAGCTCTGACTCTTACCTTCTGGAGGAAACTGTCTGGAGATGTGAGGAGGGTACTATTCTATTTAGGTAGGTTGTATTTCTCTCACCTGCATATTATAACTCAAAACAGAGATGTAGCTCTGATTCTCTGGCAGCCCAGCTTCCACACAGGAGTTGGGGGTGGTCCTCTGCAGGCATCCCATTGGGAAGGTTTTCTTCTTGGGACTGGAAGCAGTGATGAAAGTCAGCTCTGGTCAATGTTTCTTTCTTCTGGAATCAAACTCTCATAGAAACAGAGCAAGAACAGATATACCGAGTCCTGTTCCCTTGTCCTACGGGCCAAGGGGTCAGAGGCTTACAGGGCGCTCCTGGGAGGTTGGGCCCTTAAGGAATACAAGGGTCCCCTGGGTTACCAGGAGCAGTGGGCCACAAAGGGGATCCTGGAGATTGTCCAGGTAAGGAGCTTACCTCAGCAAGGTCTGGGCTGAAGGGCACCCAGGGTACTGGGACTTTGACTTCCAGGTGGGAGGTGCCTCTTCCCCTGATGCCTCATGGGAAGATGTCCAACTCTGCTTCCTGACCCAGAACCCCACAGCCCTCCCTAGGCTTCTTAGAGCCTCAGGGAATTCCTACCAGCACTCTCGTGCAGACTTACAAGCCCTTCAGGACCACTCCCTCACTAGGCTCTCTCTGGAGGAGCTAGGCCCTGGGCCTCCTTCAGTCCAATGTCAGGCTCTGGTTCAAAAGGGGGAAACCAGGCCATTGAAGAATTGGGCCTCTTATGTCAGCCTATTTTCACAACAGCAGTAGCCAAGGCATGTCAATTATCTTTAACTTCATAAGACACAAACAATCAAAAAAACACAGCCACGGCTTTAAGCCCACAGTTCTGGGAATCAGCCGGTGATCTCTCTGCTGGTCTCACTCATAGATCTGTGGTCAGCTGATGGCCCAGCGTGCCATGGACATGACTGGATATCATTTGTCTGTCAGCTGAGTGATGAAAGTAAATGAGACACAGGGCTCTCATCACCAAACAGGCTGCCTGGGCTTGTTCACAGAGGTGATTACAGGATTCCCAAGAGTAGGAAGAGCAGAAGCATTAAGGCCTCCTGAAGGCTTAGAACATGTACATTATTGTTTCTACTACATTCTAATGGTCAAAACAAGTGACAAGGCCAGTCCTGATTCAAGGAGTAGGGAAAGAGACTCATTTCTTAATGAGAAAGTCTGTGCCATATTAAGGCCACATTTGCCATCTATAATACATGGCTTGCCTCATTCCCTGCTCCCTTGAATAATGAGCAGCTCACAAAAAATCGTGGATTAAAAACAGAACAAACACGGGGAAAAACAAAACCAAAATTAAAAAAACAACAGAAACAAAACTTCCTCAAAGACAAAACTCTGTAATCTTTCTAGTCAACATTCACTAGCTCATAATAATTCCCCCAAAGATTTCTCTTTATATGTGATAGAGCTATTTATTTTTGGGGAAAAAAAAACAATTAGTGAAGAGCTTGGCATATGGAGTGCTATCATGCCAGGTCAGCAGGGAGCATATGTGTGTGCTTGTGAGTGTGAGTAAGTATGTATACATAAAGTGACTGCAGGTATATTCAACAGACAAAGACTGGATGGAAACAGATAGAATTTTCCTTCCTTTTGCTTCATTTTCCTCCAATATCAAAATGTAATTTTTTTGGTTTAAAAAAGATACCCCTTACTGAGACCCCCTTTTCAACAATGCTTTCACTTTATCTTAATTTTCTAGTTTGTGAGAGCCACCTGGATAGTTCAGAAAGAAGAGCTTTGCAAGAAGAATTGGACTGTATCAAAAAGTGTGAGCCTCCTTTCTTACTCTTCAGGTAGCTTGAAGTTTGGAAACATGGAAGGTAACAAGTATTTATTAAATACATATAGTATTTTAGGACCTGGATAGGTGTTTTGCATATTCTGATCACATGAAATCCTCACAACACCCTTTTGCTAGAAATAGAGGCAGAAAGGAGTTATGTAACTTACTCAAACACACAGAGTTAAGTGGTAGAAGTATTTTATAAACTGAAGTCAGTCTGACTCTGGAGTCCCTGATCCTTTACTTTTTACTCTCTGGTCACTGAAAATGGGACGTATGCCCCTTTTTATTGCTGGCATTGAGACCTGTCAATGAGTTTGAGCTGTTCCTTCTGTGCTCTCTTACCTTGGGGCAAATACTCTCACTTTTGTTTATTCTTAAGATAATACTGAGGTAGAATTCAGTTTCCTAATTGTATGTGCTCTAAAACTGATTCAAAAAGATAAAGTCCTCTGATAGAGTCTGTCTCTTCAGATTAGGGTTGCCAGTTTTTACTAGGAAAAAGACAGGCTGCCGAGTCAAATTTGAATTTTAGGTAATCAACTTTTTTTTTTTTTAGTACACATATGTCTCCAAAATTGCATGGGAGATACCTATACTAAAAAAATTGAGTTGTTTACCTGAAATTCAAATTTAACTGGTCACACTATATTCTATGTGGCAACTCTGTTCTAGACACCTCTACCCAGAAAACTACCTTGGGTTGGGCTTAAAGACAAGCCAGCATCATCCAGAGATTTTTACTTTAGGGCTGACCTTCTCTATGGGCAAAAATGTTGGGAAGAAGTTCTTCGTGACCAATGGTGAAACGATGAGCTTTGACAGGGTAAAGGCTCTGTGTACCCGGTTCCAGGCCCCCGTGGCCACCCCCATGAATGCTGAGGAAAACAAGGCCATCCAGAGGATAGCCAGTAGTAGACATGTCTTCCTGGGCATCACAGATGAGGAGACTGAAGGCCATTTTGTGGACCTGTCAGGAAGGGGTTTGACCTACAAAAACTGGAAAGCTGGTGAGCCCAACGATGGTGCCAGAGGGAAGGACTGTGTGATGCTCCTAGAGGATGGCATGTGGGATGACATCTCCTGCTCCTCCTTCTTGGCCGTCTGTGAGTTCAAGTTTGCTGGCTGATGGAGCCCGTCCCTCACCCTTCTCACAGACCCACAGTTGGCTCTGAAAGATAAATCTGTATCAATTTCCCACACCCAGTATTGAGTTGCCACTCTGTGGGGAATGAGAAAATGAGAAGAATGGACTGAATGGTGAGATGTGAAAGTGAGACGAGGGAAGAGGCAGACCACGCTGCCACAAGTTTCTGGTTCAGACACAATCACTAAGAGTCACTAACCACCACAACAGTAACAAAATAATAATAGCAGTAAAACACTACTGTTATTATCTTTTAATGTATGCAATGAGTCGACCCTACGTTATGCATACTACATTCATTACCTAATTTAAATAGGCTCTAAGGTATAAAAATAAGGTGGATTTAAATAGGCTCAACTTGCTAAGGTATTAAAATTAGGTGGATTTATTTTTTCATGCAACTATGAACACCAGAGCTTTCCTTTCTCTTTGGGCAGATGGCTCCTCTAACGACATTCCCAACCTAATTCCATAGCTTTTCTACCAGTCTCAGGTATTGAGGATCTATTTTGTTGTTTTTTTCTCTCTGCACTCTATTTTCTTTTTAATAGGGTACTAAACTATGCAAAGAACATAAATCTCAAGCAAATAGAATTAATAAAATCTCACATGTGTATACACCCATGTAACCACCTTCTAGATCAGATACAGGACATTTCCGGTATCCTAGAAACCCCTTCCTAACCCCTTCTAGTTGATTTTCCCAAAGGTAAATACTATTCTGACTTCTATTACCATATCTTAATTTTGTCTGTTTATGAACTTCATATAGACAGTCGTATTAAATACACTGTTTTATGTCTTGCTTTTTTTCATTAAAATTTAAATCTGTGAGATTAATTCATAGTGTTATACGTAGTAGTTTGATTTTTCATTTTTATTGACACATAGGGTTCCCCCATATGAATGTACCTCAGTTTATCCATTTGATTGTTTTATACACTTGGACTGCCTCCAATTTTTTGATCATTAAGAAAAACTCATGAACATTTCTGTACTGGTATTTTGGTAGGCATGTATGCTAATTTATCTTGGCTATCTACCCAGGAGTAGAACTGGTGGGTTATGGGATAAACATGTTTAGCTTTAGTAGACACTGACAGTTTTCCAAAGTGATCATGTGAATTTACTCTCCCACCAGCTATGTGTGTTGACTTGTTCTATAAACTTGTAAAGAGTCAATATTTTCAGTCCTTATAATTTTGGCCATTCCTGTGGTTGTTATGTGATTATCTCACCATGGCTTAAATCTGTATTTCTCTGACATATAACAACACTAGACATATTTTTATATGCTTATTGGTTACCTGGATATCTCCCATTGTGAAGCACCCATTCAAGTCTTTTGCATTTTGTTTAAATTAAGTAGCCAGTATCTTTCTTACTGTTTTGTAAGAGTTATTTTATAATCTGGATATAAATCCTTTTGCTTATAGCTACACATACATTTTTCTAGTTGGTGAACTGTTTCCAGTGTTGACTTTTGATGAACAGAAGTTCCTAATTTTAACAAAGACCAATCTATCAGTATGTTCCTTCATATTTAGTACTTCTAATGTCCTGTTTAAAAAATCTTTTCCTATTCCAAAATCAAAACGATATTCTCATATAGTTTTTCTAGTATATTGCTAAACCTACTTATCCCTAGTAGATACCAACTTGATTCATTACTATTAGTTTGAAAGACCAGTTTTCTCCATTGAATTAGAGAAGTGCTTTTTTGTAAATTAAGTAACTGCCTATGCATGGATCTGTTTCTGGGCTTTCTATACTCTTTTACTGGTTTATTTGTTGATGCTTATGTCAAATACTATACTATCTTAATTTGTGTACATTTAGGATAGGAAAGGATATCTAACAGGGTATGCCTTCCAGCTTTGTTCTTCTTCAAGATTGCCTTGGCTTTTCTTGGTTATTTGCATTTCCACACAAATTTTAGAATGAGTGTTTCAATTTCTACAGAAACCTGGTAAGGTTTCCATTGGGACTGCCTAGACCCTCTCCATCAATTTAGGCAGAATTGACAACTTAATTCCAAGCCTTTAATAAAAAATCATAGTATATCTCTCCAGTCAAATAGAACTTCTTTAATTTTACTTATAATGTTTTGAAGTCCTACATTTAGACATACTGAATATCTTGTTTTGGTTGTTTTAAGAATAATATATTTCTAATAACTTTCATTATCTACTGCATGTTATATATAGAGATAAAATTAATTTTGTATATGGTTTTATAAAATCCAGTCACCTTGATATGTCCATTGCTTAATTTTAATACTTTGTATATTCTTCTGAATTTTCTATATACATAGTCATGGAATCTGAAAATGTGGCAGTTACTCTTTCCTTCCCAATTGTTGTGTCTTTTATTATTTTCTTGTTTTTCTGCACTTAGCAACCTAAATACAGTATTGAATAAAAATAGTGAAAATCCTGGCCTGGTTCATTTAACTTCTGCTATTAAGACTTAATCTTTATTTTTTTCTAAATCTTCAAACTCATGTTTAACTCACCTCTTTTCTCCTCCTATCTATGCTCCTATGCTACAGGGGGTTTGGGGAATGGGTGGAGTCTTATTTTATATCATCTCATTCCTGCTTTCTTGAACAGTCTTCAGATGTTTGACTGAGAGGTGGAATGATGATCCTTAAAATGACTAATTGTGATGACTGCCTGTTCTTTCACCGCCACTACCCTCACTTGTTCTCCATAAATCCCCTGTGAATGGATGGAGTCTCAAGCAACTTGCTAAAAATGAGATCGATCCCAATCCCCCCATTATATGGCTGTCTTCTGTGGAAATATCCATACCTGACAGCTGCTCTGTATATTCCTCAGTGACATATAGCCATGTCCAAAAATAATCTTACATTCAAAGGATTAACATTTGACAACATTGAGAAAATCCAAACATGCCTGAAAATGATTCCTGGAGATCTGTTCAATGATTTATATTCTGGCAGGATAGAATATCCTCAGCCGAGGACTTTAAAGGCAACAGAAATTCTTTGGAGGCATTTGGCCTAGTGGGCTTGTTAAAAAAAAGCCAAATTACTTTCTAAGTTAGGAGTTAAATCACTCGTAGAAATAAAAGATGTTGTAAAATTTCAGTCACTGCATTCCCAGGTCCAATACTGAAGGACTGCCAAGAAAACTTCTGCTATTATGTTAAACTTTCAGAGACAACCAGAGCAGGCATAGACAACTGAAAGACAATACAATGAAATCTTCCATAGTGTACATTCTCTAATTAGGACTATCTAAACTGGACTCACAGTTCAATCATCTAATGGTTGTGAGACATTGGGCCAGTGTTTTGACTTTTTTGTCTCATTCATCTGTACCTGGGAGAAAAGAATGATTCCTATTAAATGAGATTTGTTAAGACAATCAGTTAATAACATTAAAGTGTTTAGATAAGTGCTAGGATACTGCATTTTATTTAATGCACTCAGTCATGTTGCTATATATATATATATATATATTTTAAAATAAGATCCTATGGTTATGTGGTAAATAACATTCTGTGATTTTTGAAAACTAAATTAATCTTGCTTTCAAGGAATAAACTCCAGTTGGTCACATTATATCCTTTGTATGTATCACAGAAGTTGATTTGCTAATAATTTGTTTAAAAAATTTGCATCTATGATCATGAGAGATATTGGCCACTCTTTTTTCCCTCTAATGACTTGCTAGGTTTTGGTGTGAGGGCTATGCTAGCCTCATAAAATGACATGTTCTCAGGTTTCTATTCTCTGAAATAATTTGTTTAAAATAATGCCTTTATGTTAGATAAATTCACCAATGAAGCTGTGTTGGAACTGTGTTTTCTTTCTTGAAAGCTTTTAGATTTCAGATTTAATTTCCTTCAGATCTATATCAATTCATATTTCAATGTCTTTTGTACAGTTTTGGCTAGTTTAGCTTTTTAATGAATTTTTCCATTTCATCCGTACTGTTAAACGTATTGACATGAAGTTGTTACCAGTATCTTCCTATTTCTTTAAGTAAGGTCTGCATTATCTCCATTGCATATTTCCTGATTATTTGTATTTTTTCTTTCTTTCTTTCTTAATAAGTCTTGCTAGAGAATCTGTCAATTTCATTAATCTTTTTCAAAACTGATTTTTATTGGTGTCTTTTTCTCTATTAACCTCTACGATCAATTCAATTTATATCTGTTTATATCTTTATCTTTTCCTTATGATACCTCTTCTTTGGATTTATTTTGCTATTCTTTTTCTGACTTCCTTAATTAACATTTAGAGAATTGATTATCTTCTTTTCTAATATATTCATTTAAGGTTATAAATTTCCATCTAAGGGCTATTTCAGCTGCATTCCACAGGTTTTGATATGTAGCTTTTGTCACCATCATTCAATTCAAAATATTGTATAATTTTCACTGCGATTTCTTCTTTGACTCATGCTTTATGTATAGTTTACTTATAAGTGTTTTCTATATCCCAAGTATTTGGCATATGAAAAAAGTTATCTTCCTATAAATTATGTAGTTTAATTCCACCATGGCTACAAACATACTTTGAATATATTTAATCCTTTGAAATTTGTTAAGACTTACTTTTATGGGGCACCTTATGGTTAAAAATGTTATGTGTATCTTGTGCATATGATATATAATGTGTTTTCTTCAACTGATGAGTGTATAATCTACTTTATATCTTCTATATTCTTACCAATATTTTCCATTTTTAAGTCAGTTACTGAAAACTACATATTAAAATATCCAACTGTAATTGCATTTTTGTCTATTTCTAGCTTTAGTTCTTTCTATTTTTGCTTTCTATATTGAAGTTATATTAATAATTGTGTATAAGTTTAGGATTATTATAATTTCTGTTTTTACATTTTTAAGTGAAATATTCATCTTTATTTGCCATTTTCTTCCATAAAAGTGTTCCTTGCCTGGTGCTAATTCACCTCATCAGTTTTCTTTTGTTTAGTGTCTGCATGCTATGTATTTTCCCACCATTTTACATTTACCTATTTTTGTCTTATATTCAGAGTACATCTCTATTAATTAGCATATAATTGGCTCATTCTGAAAATCCAATCTGATACTCTAAACTGGATTACAGCACTATAATTTCATAGTTATGTGATGTTTGAGCTAGACTTTTACTGAACAGTTTAGTCCATCAATTTTAACTTAATTTCTAATATAATTTAATTCAAATTTTATCTGTTCATTCCACCTGTTCTTTTTCTCCTCATTCCTTCTTTTCTGCTTTATTTTTTATTCATCATTTTCATTACCATTTTATTTACTCAGACATGTTTACATTATTATTTTAGGGGTTATCATATACGTTACAGTATCCATCATTATCCTATTACAGTGAACCTAAATTAATACTTGAATACTTCCCAAGCAATTCACAAACCTCACCACAATTTCATTCCATTTGTCCTCCTGCTTTATTTACTGTTGTTGCTATATATGCATAAGCTCCACAATAAATTATTATTGCCGTGGCTGTATAAACAGTGCTGTGGATTTTACACTTTCTAGAGCTCCTTATTCCCTCTGGCAGTTTAATGTTTCCATTCAGGATCATATTCTTTCAGTGCAAAGAAGTTCCTTTCAAGTTTTCTAGTCATCACACTTCCTCTACATGACTGCAAGCATCTTGCCATTTTCTCCATGACCCCACCCCTATCCCCACTGCCCCAAAACCCTGTATAATCCCTCTTCTGGATTGAAGACAACCTTAGCCTCATCCAGAACTGTCAATGCATCCAAAGAAACAAATAGCAAAAAAAAAAAACAACAGCTCAACTTGGAAGCACTGTTCATAATCTAGAATTCGTTCACCTAGTTTTTGGTACTTTACAGTATTCTGATATTATTAAAATATGACTTTGAATTGTTTTTCTGGCTTTTGCTAATTATTACAGTGGAAGCATTGGTATCTTGTAACCTACTCTATTCTATCCAGAAATAGAAGCCCCATTATTCAGTTCATTCTCTAATTCAATCTTTAAAAAAATTTTACAAAAAATAAATTTGAGAGGTTCTCTAGTAACTATCTTCTCTCTGCCATTGCCTCTTTCTTTACTATATTTACAGGAAAGGTAGCATTTATATTATATAAAAAATAATACATTCAGACTTCTGGTTTTCACTTCAACATGTAAAGGGCTTAGAAGTCATACTCCTTTCTTCACAACAGTAAAAAGCCCAAACTGGAAATGAATGATTCTTCTTAGATTCTTCAGAGAATTGAGTTCACAAGGCAAATTGTATAAATATGAAATCCCTGTACCTCTGGAGTAATTACAGACAGAATACTTTAATTCTTCCTGATGACCCCACTTCATTTTCTGTGTCCACTCAGGCCAAGCCAGAAGACCATCACCAGTGTAGCCTGGCCCCTTCTTCAGCAGTTTAATGGAGGCCACCTGTCCTTGAAGTAGATGTGGCTCCTCCGGCCCCTGCAAGTGAGGCTCATGGCCTCTCAGGCCCCTTATGCTGTACCCTTCCACGCTTTGAGAGGCTTCAATGGCACAAGAGCAGGTCACAGGCCACATCCCTGAATGTGAGAAAACTCCACATGGAAGCAGCAGCTGGAGGCTGAAACATGGATACGGAAAACGGAGAAGAGAAAAGCTCTCAAACGCATCTTCACTATAGTGACACCCACTCAGTGTCACTGCTTGGGGCCACATTCTGTGAGTTTAAACACATTTGGGGAAAATTTCCGGTGGTTATTTTTATCAGAGTTCCTATAATTGTAGGGAAACTCACTTTCAAATGGCACCCTTTCTCTCAATGAATGGCTTTTGAGATGCTCTAATGTGAAAAGGTAACACACTGGCTGCTGAGATCCCAGGCTTTACTTATGACCTCACTTTCCCCCTACAATCCTTCATCCATATTTTAAATCTCCCAATCTCAACTTTCTCTTTCCATTGCAAAGTCCTATGAGCAGTGTCCAGCTGATTAGCTGGCCTCTCTACTACTGTCCACGCTGTGGTCTCCATTAGAGGGCTCGTTGGGGAGTGACCATTAGAAAAACAGCAGAACATACACATCATACTCATCAACAAAGAGGTCGCTCGGGGGTAGGGGCCGAAAATAAATACAAATGTGTGGGCACATAAGCACACCCCGTCCCCCATCCCCCTTGCAAGTTGAAACTTCTTGCATAATATTATTAAATTTTCCTTCCTACTTCTGAACCAACACATCAGAAGGAATATTTTAGATACTCCAGTACTGGAGGAGCAGCAGAGTCAGGACACAATTTTCAGTACACCCCAGAGGTGGCCCTCGGGTACTGATGATAAGAGCATCAGAGTATTCTGCCCTCAGGGTGGAGAGCACTCTGACATTGTCAGTAAGTAAGCAGGGATTGGAGCATCTGATCTGTGACTACCATAGAGCAGTGGATGTCTGAACTGCTAAAAGATAAACTGAGGCACATTAAAAGTTGTATGAGTTTATTTAAGCAAACGTCAGTTTAAATTGGAGCAACATGTAATAGGGAGTGGTTAGAGCGCTTCACCAACAGAAGCTAGGGAGGGGAAAGACTTTTACAGAGAAGATGCAGAAACTAAGCAGAGAAATTATTTGACTACAATGCAAGTGCTTTTCTGGTTTGGGAACACCTCCTAGGCTGTTTGTGAGATTGGTTGCTCTTAAGTTTCATTTTCCCAGATTTCAGTACATTGACTCTGGCTTAGGTTTCAGTTGGCTTACATAGGCTGCCAAAACATGACAGCCACCTCCATCTAGTGTTACATTACTTTAACAAGGCCTAGCAGAATTAGAAACAATTTTGTTTTAATCAAAATCCCACATGAAACACCAATACATACAAGAAGTTAAAGGGCAATTTTATTAGAAAATAATTTTTTCATATTTTTGAGAAGTTCAAATATATAACTTTATACAACTAGAGACATAATGCTCTGACAAACTAAAAAGTTTTTGAAATCCAAAGTTATTAATGATAACTATAATCTTTTGTCAGCTTCTCATATTTAATTCACTTTGTTGGTATCTTCTTTGGCTTTGGCTGCCCAATACCAGAATGTCGAGCGATGTGTAAATATTTACAAATGATAGCTGGGTGCAAAGTGCATGATGTGGAATCTTAGTTCAAGTCTACTTGTTGACTCACATGACTTTTAAAGGCCATACCTGTTCTTGGCTCCTCTTGGAGGGACAAAAGGACAGGAAACATGGTCTGTCATCTGGGCAGCAGTGGAAGGAGGAGACCTGGCAGCAGTCCACATAGGAGCCCAGGAGCTATTAACGGTTCCCCAGTGGTAGTTAAGGTGTTGACGTAGCTAGAGCTACGCAAGTTGGTGCAATAGTGGCTTAGATGTGCAATCCTGATTTAGAAGCCTTGCATTCCTAAGAGGAACAAATGTATCTACTTTATTATTATTATTTTATATTTTGTTATCATTAATCTACAATTACATGAAGAACATTATATTTACTAGGCTCCCCCCTTCACCAAGTCCCCGCCACATACCCCATTACAGTAACTGTCCATCAGCGTAGTAAGATGCTGTAGAATCACTACTTGTCTTCCCTGTGTTGCACAGCCCTCCCCATGCCCCCCTACATGCTAATTATACATGTTAATCGTAAAACCCCCTTTCTTTTTCCCTGTACTTATCCCTCCCTTCCCATCCATCCTCCCTAGACTGTTTCCCTTTGGTAACTGTTAGTCCATTCTTCAGTTCTGTGTCTCTGCTGCTGTTTTGTTCCTTCAGTTTTTCTTCATTCTTATACTCCACATATGAGTGAAATCATTTGATACTTGTCTTTCTCTGCCTGGCTTATTTCACTGAGTATAATACCCTCTACCTCCATCCATATTGTTGTAAATGGTAGGATTTGTTTTTTTCTTATGGCTGAATAATATTCCATTGTGTATATGTACCACCTTTTCTTTATCCATTCATCTACTGATGGACATTTAGGTTGCTTCCATTTCTTGGCTATTGTAAATAGTGCCACGATAAACATAGGGACGCATCTGTCTTTTTCAAACAGGGCTGCTGCATTCTCAGGGTAAATTCCTAGAAGTGGAATTCCTGGGTCAAATGGTATGTCTATTTTGAGCATTTTGAGGAACCTCCATACTGCTTTCCACAATGGCTGAACTAATTACATTCCCACCAGCAGTGTAGGAGGGTTCCCCTTTCTCCACAATCTCGCAAACATGTGTTGTTGTTTGTCTTTTGGATGGCGGCAATCCTTACTGGTGTGAGGTGATATCTCATTGTGGTTTTAAATTGGATTTCTCTGATGATTAGGGATGTGGATCATCTTTTAATGTGCCTGTTGGCCATCTTAATTTCTTCTTTGGAGAAGTGTCTGTTCAGCGACTCTGTCCATTTTCTAATTGGATTATTTGCTTTTTATTTGTTGAGGTGCGTGAGCTCTTTATATATTTTGGATATCAACCCTTTATTGGATATGTCATTTATGAATATATTCTCCCTTACCATAGGATGCCTTTTTGTTCTATTGATGGTGTTTCTTTCCTGTACAGAACCTTTTCAGTTTGATACAGTCCCACTTGTTCAATTTTCCTTTTGTTTGCCTTGCCCGGAGAGATATGTTCATGAAGAAGTTGCTCATGTTTATGTTCAAGAGATTTTTGCCTGTGTTTTTTTCTAAGAGTTTTATGGTTTCACGACTTACATTCAGATCTTCGATCCATTTTGAATTTACTTTTGTGTATGGCGTTGGACAATGATCCAGTTTCACTCTGTTACATGCAGCTGTGCAGTTTTGCCAACACCAGCTGTTGAAGAGGCTGTCATTTCCCCATTGTATATCCATGGATCCTTTATCGTATCTTAATTGACCATATGTGTTTGGGTTAATATCTGGACTCACTGTTCTGTTCCACTGGTTTGTGGGTCTGTTCTTGTGCCAGTACCAAATTGTCTTGATTACTGTGGCTTTGTAGTAGAGCCTGAAGTTGGGAATCGAGATAACCCTGCTTTATTCTTCTTGGGATTGCTTTGGCTATTCGGGGTGCTTTGCCGTTCCATATGAATTTTACAACTATTTGTTCCAGTTTGTTGAAGAATGCTGTTGGTGTTCTGATAGGGATTGCACTGAATCTGTAGATTGCTTTAGGCAGGATGGCCATTTTGACAATATTAATTCTTCCTAGCCAAGAGCATGAGATGAGTTTCCATTTGTTAGTGTCCTCTTTTATTTCTCTTAGCAGTGTCTTGGAGTTTTCTAGGTAGAGATCTTTCACTTCCTTGGTTCGGTTTATTCCTAGGTATTTTATTCTTTTTGATGTAATTGTGAAAGGAATTGATTTCCTGATTTCCCTTTCTGCTAGATCACCGTTAGTGTATAGGAAAGCAACAGATGTCTGTGTATTAATTTTGTATCCTGCAACTTTGCTGAATTCAGATATTAGTTCTGGTGATTTGGGTGTGGAGTCTTTAGGGTATTTTATGTACAGTATCATGTCATCTGCAAACAGTGACAGTTTGACTTCTTCTTCACCAATCTGGATGCCTTGTATTTCTTTGTTTTGTCTGGTTGTCATGGCTAGGACATCCAGTACTATGTTGAATAACAGTGGGGAGAGTGGGCATCCCTGTCTTGTTCCCAATCTTAGGTGAAAAGCTCTTGACTTCTCGCAGTTAGCATGATGTTGGTTGTGGGTTTGTCATATATGGCCTTTATTATGTTGAGGTACTTGCCCTCTATACCCATTTTGTTGAGTTTTTATCATGAATGATGTTGAATTTCGTCGAATGCTTTTTCAGCATCTATGGACATGATCATGTGGTTTTCGTTCTTTTTGATCATGTGGTGGATAATGTTGATGGATTATCGAATGTTGTACCATCCTTGCATCCACTGAAATGAGTCCCACTTGATCATGGTGTATGATCCTCTTGATGTATTTTTGAATTTGGTTTGCTAATATTTTGTTGAGTAATTTTACATCTATGTTCTTCAGGGATATTGGTCTGTAATTTTCTTTCTGGTGGGGTCTTTCCCTGCTTTTCGTATTAGAGTGATGCTGGCTTCATAAAATGAGTTTGGAAGTATGCCCTCCTCTTCTATTTTTTGGAAAACTTTAAGGAGAATGGGTATCATGTCTTCTCAATATGTCTGATGATGAAATTCAGTGGTGAATCCATCAGGCCCAGAATTTTTGTTCTTGGGTAGTTTTTTGATTACCAATTCAATTTTGTTGTTGCTATTTGGTCTGTTTAGATATTCTGTTTCTTCCTTGGTCACTTGTATTTTCGTAGAAAGTTATCCATTTCTTCTAGGTTATACCATTTGTTACCATATAGATTTTCATAGTATTCTCTAATAATTCCTTGTATTTCTGTGGTGTCTGTAGTGATTTTTCCTTTCTCATTTCTGATTCTGTTTAGATATTCTGTTTCTTCCTTGGTCACTTGTATTTTCGTAGAAAGTTATCCATTTCTTCTAGGTTATCCCATTTGTTACCATATAGATTTTCATAGTATTCTCTAATAATTCCTTGTATTTCTGTGGTGTCTATAGTGATTTTTCCTTTCTCATTTCTGATTCTGTTTAGATATTCTGTTTCTTCCTTGGTCACTTGTATTTTCGTAGAAAGTTATCCATTTCTTCTAGGTTATCCCATTTGTTACCATATAGATTTTCATAGTATTCTCTAATAATTCCTTGTATTTCTGTGGTGTCTGTAGTGATTTTTCCTTTCTCATTTCTGATTCTGTTTAGATATTCTGTTTCTTCCTTGGTCACTTGTATTTTCGTAGAAAGTTATCCATTTCTTCTAGGTTATCCCATTTGTTACCATATAGATTTTCATAGTATTCTCTAATAATTCCTTGTATTTCTGTGGTGTCTGTAGTGATTTTTCCTTTCTCATTTCTGATTCTGTTTAGATATTCTGTTTCTTCCTTGGTCACTTGTATTTTCGTAGAAAGTTATCCATTTCTTCTAGGTTATCCCATTTGTTACCATATAGATTTTCATAGTATTCTCTAATAATTCCTTGTATTTCTGTGGTGTCTGTAGTGATTTTTCCTTTCTCATTTCTGATTCTGTTTAGATATTCTGTTTCTTCCTTGGTCACTTGTATTTTCGTAGAAAGTTATCCATTTCTTCTAGGTTATCCCATTTGTTACCATATAGATTTTCATAGTATTCTCTAATAATTCCTTGTATTTCTGTGGTGTCTGTAGTGATTTTTCCTTTCTCATTTCTGATTCTGTTTAGATATTCTGTTTCTTCCTTGGTCACTTGTATTTTCGTAGAAAGTTATCCATTTCTTCTAGGTTATCCCATTTGTTACCATATAGATTTTCATAGTATTCTCTAATAATTCCTTGTATTTCTGTGGTGTCTGTAGTGATTTTTCCTTTCTCATTTCTGATTCTGTTTAGATATTCTGTTTCTTCCTTGGTCACTTGTATTTTCGTAGAAAGTTATCCATTTCTTCTAGGTTATCCCATTTGTTACCATATAGATTTTCATAGTATTCTCTAATAATTCCTTGTATTTCTGTGGTGTCTGTAGTGATTTTTCCTTTCTCATTTCTGATTCTGTTTAGATATTCTGTTTCTTCCTTGGTCACTTGTATTTTCGTAGAAAGTTATCCATTTCTTCTAGGTTATCCCATTTGTTACCATATAGATTTTCATAGTATTCTCTAATAATTCCTTGTATTTCTGTGGTGTCTGTAGTGATTTTTCCTTTCTCATTTCTGATTCTGTTTAGATATTCTGTTTCTTCCTTGGTCACTTGTATTTTCGTAGAAAGTTATCCATTTCTTCTAGGTTATCCCATTTGTTACCATATAGATTTTCATAGTATTCTCTAATAATTCCTTGTATTTCTGTGGTGTCTGTAGTGATTTTTCCTTTCTCATTTCTGATTCTGTTTAGATATTCTGTTTCTTCCTTGGTCACTTGTATTTTCGTAGAAAGTTATCCATTTCTTCTAGGTTATCCCATTTGTTACCATATAGATTTTCATAGTATTCTCTAATAATTCCTTGTATTTCTGTGGTGTCTGTAGTGATTTTTCCTTTCTCATTTCTGATTCTGTTTAGATATTCTGTTTCTTCCTTGGTCACTTGTATTTTCGTAGAAAGTTATCCATTTCTTCTAGGTTATCCCATTTGTTACCATATAGATTTTCATAGTATTCTCTAATAATTCCTTGTATTTCTGTGGTGTCTGTAGTGATTTTTCCTTTCTCATTTCTGATTCTGTTTAGATATTCTGTTTCTTCCTTGGTCACTTGTATTTTCGTAGAAAGTTATCCATTTCTTCTAGGTTATCCCATTTGTTACCATATAGATTTTCATAGTATTCTCTAATAATTCCTTGTATTTCTGTGGTGTCTGTAGTGATTTT